AAAAGATCATCCTGCATATCAGCATGACATCATCGAGAGACACCCACTGTGATGGCTACTAGGTTTTCTCCATTTTGTCCTTTTCTCCTGCCCTCCGGCATCACCCCAGTAGGACCAGTGATGTCATCGTTTTGAATAATAGCCAGATGTGCTGGTGACCATTGCAGCCCTGACCTGCAGGGGGCAGCGTGCCTTGCCTACACGTATCAAACCCATCTGGCAAGGACAACAGCTACCAAACACATGATTTGGATTTTAAAGCCCCTACCTGCGTCGTGCCAGCTGAATGATAGCTATTGCTTTTATAGAAACATCATGCAGTCGATAAAGTGCTGGCATATGTCTCTGTGTTCTAACCTTTTTGTTGTGTAAGTCCATTTCTATTAGCTCTTAGGTGCCCCCATTGAATTCTGATGCCAAATGTACAGACTTATTGAGACCGACTGTATTTATATATAAAAGTGTTCCATAAACCCCTCTCGGTTGAGAGTAACAGCCGTTACTTTTTTGTCAGTATGCCAGCCAATAGCACTATACACAGACTTGGCATGTGATCTGCCGTTTTCGTGCAGTTTCAAGGTTTTCACTGAACTATTCCCTGTGCAAAAAACACGTGTATAGGAAATACACTATAACATCAAAGGTACATCAATCAAGTTTCTAGAATTATCATCATTCCCACTGCAAAGCTACTTGAAAACTGTTAGAAAATGTCATACCAAAATATCCATGGACACAATGTGGATCTGTGGAGTTTGCGTGTTCTTCTTACAGTACGTTTGCATGGGCTTCCGCTGAGTAGTCTGGTTTTCTCCTACAGTCAAGAAAGATACTGTTTGGTGAGATGGTGTCTCTGAGTGTCCTTTGGCAGTGTTTCTCTAAACAGTCCTTGAGGACACTCCCAGACAGTCCACGTTTTTGCTGGGATGGAGAAACAATGTGGACTGTGTGGCGGCAAGCTGGGAAACATGGAGCGTCTGAGGTCCCGGAGGACCGGGTTGACAAACACTATTCTGTGGTGTATATGCAAGTTACATCCAGACTAGGGTGCTCCCTTGGGCCGGGTCCTTTCCAAAACTGGGGGCCATCCTGGATAAGCACTATGGTTGGATGGAAAATATCATGAGTTTATATCTGAGCCAACTTCATGTCAGCACACCTTCATGTGCAGTAATTGAAGGAACTGGTAGGATAGGCTAGTTCGCTTGTAACGATGCATTATTTACTAACGCACACTATGTAATGAATTAAAATTGCATTGTTACATAGCTTTATCTTGGAATACAAACTAGTATTTTGCCTGAGACATCTTTGAATGTAATAGTCCTTTTCCTGCAAATTGGAAGTTTTAAGAAGAAATATTGAGTATCACAGGATGTAATTCATATGGTCTTTATATGTTAAGTGTAATGTGTGTGATATAGGTTACAGAACTGATAATCTCACCAAAATTATGTCGATAGGAAGAGATATTTTGATTTAATTGGACAGTGATGTCTATAGTGACATTAAAAGGACTTTAGGACACAAAGGGCCGGCAGGCAAAGTCTGAAGGTTTTAAATGTATCTAGTCATGGGATCAGTAATACATTTATTTTCCTAAATAACTGCTCAATTTAAGCATTAGTTAGCTCCATAAACTGGGGAGGCCTGTCTTAATCTCATGGAAACCGTGGGATCCAAGTGCTCAGAAAGACACTCAGAGTTAAGCCTGTATGGCTGTATACTGGCTACATGCATAAGTGTGTAAAGTGGCTTCATTTGGGATTCTATCTGTAATAATATTTATATTTAAATATTTTGATGCATGCTGGTTTGAACTTTGGACTATATAAAGTGCGGTTTTATGCATATTCCAAATATAAAAAACATTTTTACCTTTATTAAAAAAAGATGCAACATCTATCAGAAAAAATTCAAACTGTTTGAATTTAACTGTTAATAATTCATATTTTGTATTTTATTATTTATTATTACGGTATTTATTTAAGTCCATAAACCACCAAATGCTGCTAGACAGTCACCTTAGAATCAGTTTAGAATCTAACTCCAAAAGTCTTTGCATACTGTTTTTGCCTTGTCCTGCTGATGCTGTACGGTAAAATAATGGAGTGAAACAATGGTGTTATGTAACCCTGACAGACATTTGTTCCTGTTGAAGTGATTGTAAATCTGAGTGAATTGTTCCAGAGGCTGTTCTCGCCATCAGTTTGATTTCTGAGTGGCCCATTGAAGAATTATTTATTAGGAGAAAAACCCCTGTGGTCTCATGTTCTCCTTCACTCACTGTCATTGTTATTATACTGAAATCAAGCTTTGTTAAGTGTTTTTTAACCTATTGAAAATTAGTATACCAAAGACAATGAGAATATGTTGAAATAACTGTGAAACAATTGTTTGGTGACAAGCAGGAAAAAATGTCATATTTATGGGAACTTGACATGTGCAGATAAGTATGAAAAGTAGCTATTTCCACCCACCAGAATTCAGATGAAGAATGGATTGTAAAATCATTGTTTCTTCAAATACAGTACATGCTGACTGAAAAGTCAACCAACTCACTTTGAAATCAGTGTGAAAGACATACCTTGACAGGAGTCTATAAAATAATAAGGACTGAATGAAGAATGTATGTATTCTTGCAAAAATGTGACTGTTTTATAACATAAAGAAATGTTAAAATAGCTACTAGTTACGCACAGCATAATTGTCCCTAAAGCAGCGACAGTAATAATTCTCCAATAGCTAAACCCACGAATGCTTTGAATTGGTGCCTATGCTATTCCGGCTGTAATTATAGGCGAGTTTTCTTTGGATCGATGCAGCGGCCCATAGCGGTTTGTTCATCAACGTGAGCGCTCAGGCACGGACAGTGCGATGGCAGAGACAGGGGGTGCAGGGGAAACGTCGACGTGTGGGGGGGGGGGATGCCAGCACAGGTGCTGCAGACAGATGGGGCTTATGAGTGCTTGTGGCATGTCAGGGGACCACATGTCAGCCCCAATAAGAAGCCATTTCTCACATGTGTCCACATCCTTCGGCACAAAGGAATGGTCTGCAGGGAATTTGACAGGGAGGCTGGTCAGTGCTAGGAGGACGGCGATCTGTGAACTCGGGGGATCGGGTGACAGGCTGTGTCAGAGGCTATGAGGACTCAGATTCGAAAAATAGCAATAGCACATATAAATTCATATACATTCTAATTCTTTTAACAGTAAAGAAATATATGTACATTTCATACCACACAGTACTAATATGTATTGTTATTTCATGTAAAGTGCTGAAGAAAACAATATATCGTTATGTGAAACCTGATTTTTTCTGTTTCTTGGACTTGCAGGTTGCAGTGTGGCAGGAAGGTCTCAGTTGGCTAATGAGAAATGCCACATGTCTTGCTATTGAATGCAGGTGTTTGGCTACTACTTGCCATGAAATTAACTTAGGTTGTCTTCTCTCTATCAGTTTCTCCCTGCAGGATATAAATGCTTTACATAAAGTCCAGTGGTCATGAGCATTTACCATTCGCTGTTGGAACACATTAGGTCTGGGTTATCACTAAGAGGGTTTCGTGTTGGTTTCGGCCTGCCCTCTGCGGCATTGCTTCAGCATGCTTTACTGAGTTAAACGGGACATTTCACCTATCTTTGCTCTGCCAGTGACAGATGGCTGTCAGCAGTTAATGGACGAGCCAGAAAAGGCAACAAAAATTTATCAGGCAACAGAATTAATCCAATAACGTACTATTGACGTTATGTTACGTGCTGTGTGCTGCTTTCAAAAGTCACGAAATATGGTGAGATGCTTGTCTAAGACATTGTTTTAGTATGCAATCACTGTGGTTGAAAACCACCAACATTACTTTTCTGTTTGGTTGATTTTCTCCAAGCATTGTTGACATGGAATACTCAATGGAATGTAAAAAACAGATGGCCGGCTTATCACAATCCGAAGCTTATCAGCAACAACACAGGTGATACTCTCTGTACCCATGACATGAAAGTCAGAATCTCAAAGCAAATCAGTGTTTCTTTTTTGGATATCCCCATTTACCACGCTTCAGATTGAGTGTATTCATACTTTCTTTGTTTAAACATTTTTTTCTGCAGTGCAAAGCATTTAAATAATGCGTAAAGGGTAACTGCATGTTTGATTGGATGCCACAGACCTCAGATTTCTGATTTATACCGCATACCAAGATGTGATCTCCCCATTAACCTATAATGTGGCAGCAATGACTCAGGTTTTTATTTTTATTTAAGTTTCAGAATCCCAGCATGATAGAATTAGCGCTGCATAGAATTACACTTTTATTCCAGTTATAATAAAACGTAAATACGAAAAATTGCAATGAGCAGAAAGGGAACGATGCAAAAAATAGAGATTAAATGCATTAATCATTTTACTGTTGATTTTAAAAATATATTAAAATATATGAGATTGAAACATATTGAAACGTATTGTGTATGTATTCTGTGTTGTCATTGCAAGTATCTTCCTGATAAATGCAGAGGAAGCTGGTAATGGTGCATCTTTGGCTGTGTGTGCCTGTGCAGACGCTGTGCAGACGCTGTGCGGACGCTGTGGGGACGCTGTGCAGACGCTGTGGGAGTACGTGCAGGAGAGGTGAACCTTGACAACTAGATGATCACATGGCTATGAAAATACAAGCTCTAGTTACCCTGAACTACATGATAAAACCATTTCAATTTCATAACCAACAAACATTAAAAACTGAAGAAAAACTAAATAATTAATCATTTGTATTGATTGTATTGAAATAAGAACTTTTACAGAGTTCATGCAATTTCCAATTACTATAGTACGTTTTGTTGAGAATATCCATACATTCATGAATCCATGAATCCATCCATCCATCTTCTAACCAGTGATCCTGGTCAGGGTCACCATCCCCAAAATTCTACCTATATATAATAGCATAAAGAAGCAATAATTCTATTCATCCAACATTTGATGTCAAACAGTTTATTATTTATGGTACAAATAATGGTGACAGAATTGAAGCTGTTTATAAATACACAAAGTACAGCTTTACGGACCATACAGATATTGCTCTAGAGAGTAAGTACAGTTTTCAGTCTATAAAATTTAACAGCAACCTGTGCAGGTTTTCAGCTTTGGTTTAAAGGTCTTCAGAAATAACAAGATTAACTCATTTCTATAACAGTTTTTTTCTGTGTTTGTATGCTGATGTATATTTCAATGTGTTTCAATTTTAAAAAGTTTTTTTTCTTAACTGATACAGGTCACAGACTTTTTTGTCCCAAACAAATTGGGACACTTATTAAATACTGAAATTTAAGAGGATAATTCACATTATGTGAAAAAATAAAATTGATAATAATAATAATAATAGAAGAGTATAATCACAAGTCACCCTGTCAGACAATTCAGTGTAAAACCATGGTTTGGGTATATACTCTTAATGTCAAATCAAGCCTCCAAGGTGACAGATCAACATTACTTACCAACACATGTAGAACTCAAATAATTGTTTTTGGACTAACATCTAAACAGTGTTTTTATGGCATTATTCACTGGGTACAAGTACAGTGCTGAGGTAAAAATCATGATCCATTTGCCAACCCATTCAGTTTCCCTTAAATAATAGTTTAATATTGCAAGATTGTCAGCGACGTTAAGCTGTGTTTCTGTACAATGTGCATATACCTACAATACGCTGAGCTTTGGTCCAGCATTGATAAAACCAACAAAGGCAATACTCTTTTTTTTTGTTTTTTTTTTTGGTTACAGCTTCATTAACAATCCTCTCTAGTAGTTTACAACACAGGCTATCCAATGTCTTTGACTGTAAGGTGAGGGAGATATTTTGAACAAAATGGGCTTTTTTGAACAGAAAATTTGTGAAAGAAGCCCAAAGAAAGCTGAAACGCACATTTCATCACATCACAACATAGGAGTGCAGGAAGATGAAGGGTATGTTCCGCAGTGAATTAAGGCTGTTCTGCTTTACTCAGACATAACCTCAGTAAAATATTTTTATACATTTCCTAAAAGTTCAATAATGTACTCTCACATAAAAATGCTCATTTGGTTTTCATGTGCTGAGGAAAAAATATATAAATAAATATGAAGGAAACTCCAAACACTTGTGGCAGTTGATGTGTCTCATTACACTGACGTTGTAAAATGGTAAGATCTAAGCAAGCATCGTCAAGGTGATGTCCTCCCAAAGGTAGGACTTATACCCTCCATGACGAGTGGTGCTGTACCATCTATTTCATTTAGCTACCTAATACTTAGGGGCCAATATAGCTAATGTTAAATAGCTAACAATCATATTAGTACTTTGCCATTTTAGAAATGTTATCTATTCTCGTTAAACGGCAATAAAAAAAATACGCTTAAAAGTGAGACATCATCGTCATCTTTGCTTAGCAGCTAATGTAACATCAATTCTTTAATCCTTCAAATCTTCAAATATGGTATGCGTTTTATTGTATGTTGTCTGGAGACTCCATGTTTAATCTGTGTTGGCATAGCTGTCACTGTACCGCCATTATTTCTATGGGTATTACATAAAATTAGAAGGTAAAATGGTCTATATGTAGTAAAATGGTCTGTATGCAATGAACCCAAATTCAAGCACTTAGTATAAGAATGTATTAGACATCTTTCTCTAATAATCCCATTATATGTGTTTTTAAATTTAAGCGAATGTGGTTGACTAGAGTTTGCCGGTTTTCAAAATGGATGCCTTATTGTATATGACACAGCATTGTACCTGTGACACTAAGACACTAAATTCTCCATATGAATTACGAGAAACTCAAGATCTCGTTTTAACATCACATTACTGGTACTCAAATGTAATGTGTCAGACACAATCAGAAGCTGAGAGCTGAGTTGAAGAATTTCTAAGTTCCGCAGATCGTTCTCTATTTGAAGAATAATAAAGAAATCAGCTCAGGGGAAAAACATGAAATCCTAGCCTTTTGTTTCCCTTTTACTGTTATTTTTTTCCTAATCAAACATCAGCCTTCCACTTATGAGAAACTTGCAAATGAAACTGTCTCCCTGTCTTGATGCACTGCAACTCACCAGGGCCTGAAATGGCAAAAGATGCCAATCTGGAGATAAAACAAATACATAAATACATAAAAACACGCAATGGGAATAAAAATCAGATTATTTTTTAAAACATTTTTCTACTTTCATCGAAACACAGGACAAATGAAATTACACAGGATGAAAACTAACTACTCTTCTCTCATTAACATATATACGTATACAGCTACGTGCCAAGCTCTCTTGTTCGGTGAGCGAACACATAGACAACAGACCTGGATCTCAGAGCAGCTGAACAAACTCAATAAAATAAAAACATCAAAGGGAATCTGATACAAGTACATCCTTGGGCATTTTGACACATATCAGATCTGTTCGTTTTCTTGGGCCTAAAAGTAGATTCTTTGGCTATCAGGCTTTGGCAACATTTAAGCATTGCTTCGGATACAGCCATTGTAGTGGTCCTGGATGGCCCCTCGCTAGGACAAGCTGCCAACGAATCTTCTCTGTTTCTGCCTCTGTAAAATTTCCTCGACTAATTATGTCTATTTACATCATCCCATAAATATACAATCTTGTAAAAATGAATAAATACCTGTACAGTTTTTTTTACAAAGTCACACAGAAACTGAGAATTTTAACTCCAGTGAACAAAAAGCATAATAAATGGGACATTATCATGACCATTGTCAAGACAGCACAACACTTTCAAGATGAGTTGTTACTTATATATAACTGAGGAACAAAGGATTGTGGTTATTTACAATTAAACACAAGCTCATTAGCCAAACAATGAGATATAATACAAAATGTCACTACCTCATAAATGTTTTTTTCTTCACATCAGTACAAAGGTAAAAATTTAGGATACATTTACTCATAAAATGAAAGCAATCAGGATTCTGGTGTAACAGACTTTGGTAAGTAGTTTTTATTTATGTCTTTTGGTGTGATTTTTCAACATAAATCCAATACTCGGCATCAGAGAAGGTTGACTCAGTGGTCTCTGCTTGACATCTGCCATCTCTGACACAACCTTATTTTCTAACATTTTGTTAACTCTCCCACAGAGACGATGTTTGATTTTCTGGATTTGTTTTTTGTTTTGTTTTGGTTTTCATGAATACCCGGCGGCAGCCATTACACTGACAAAATATTTGTATGTATCATCGTCTTTGTCATTCCATTTGTCAAAAGGAAAAATAAAAATCTGGAGATCGTCCAGTGATGACTCTGGGGAATTCTGCAGTCAGTCCCCACCCAGCTGAAACCGTTATCGTGTAGCGCACTTTTGACGTTAGCTTTCTCTAGGAGTGATCTTCCACCGAGTCGGCTAGCGTGTCCATGGGGGTGGCCGGGCCCAGTTCTGGTTGTTTCAAGCGCTTTATTGTGTTTTTTAATGCCTGCCTCTTGTTGCAAAACCAGACGCGGACCACTTCCCGGTCATAGTTCAGCTTCTCGGCAATCTCAGTCATTTCCTGTCCAGACGGGTGTGTGTTCTTCTCAAAGTGGCTATTGAGGATCTCGAGAGCCTGTGGCGTAAATGAGGTCCTCCTCTTGCGCTTCTTGGACGGCTCGCTGCCGATAAACTCGGTCAGGTTCTGCATGCCGGAACGATGCCGGGCCTCAGCCTCGGCCATCCAGCGCTCCAGAACGGGCTTAATCTTCTGCGCGCTTTTTGGGGTGATGTCCAACTTCTCAAACCTGGCAGGATATAAAAGGCCAGGGTTCAGTTTGGCTCTCAGACTGCTAGCTATAGTGTTCTCCTGGGCTTCCTGTGGTAGAAAAAAGTGGCTTCTCAGGATGGTGTGTCTGGGGAGAATTGAGAGAGAAGAATCTTACTCAGGTGCCCTTTGACAGGGCAAGGGATATGCTGCCAGTCTCTGAGGGGCTCCTTAAGATGCTGCCAGTGGAACCAAAAGTCTCGTCACAAGTCATTTTTAGCGAAATTGCAAACTTCTGCCATTTTGTTCGATAGTACTGGGTAACCATTGCTTTTACGCTATCAACACCAGTTTCAGATGTCAGTGGTATCATTTTTTTCATTAAATGTTACTTCACCCCAAAAAGGAATGGCCTTTCTCATTAAGACGAAAGAAAGGGTCTTTTTAAAGAGCTGTATAAATCACAGGCAGCTGATTTCATAAGGAAAGCCCTCAGTAGATTGGCAGATATGTATGGAGCATTAAAAGAATCTTTCTCATCATCTGTTTGCTTGGAAAATATATACATTTAGAATATGCTTTGTTGATTTGAACATCTGAGGCACTTTTGAAATGTTCTGGGAAAACATCAAGACAGATTTTGCCGGTGCCACAAAATATGGGAATAAGGAGGTGGCACTAAAAGAAAAGAGGACAATGCTTTCCGCTTTCCAGCCAATAAACCGTGTGGTTTAGAGAAGTAAAGCAGGCAGTAACAGGACAGGAATTAGCTTTTAAAATCTTGCAGCCTAGTAGAAAGCAAGTTAAAATGTCCTTTGACAGATTTTGATCGATATTTTCTGCCTGATTCAGCAGATGCTTTAAAGCTTGCACAATGGTCATACATATTCTAGTAATGAATAAGTGATTGGCAAATTTGTTCCAAGTATAATTTGAGTTTCTTTTAATGCTCAGCATACTTCACACAGACTAATGAAGACATATACAAATTTCTTTCACTGTCCACTATAAGGTTATGCAATTTTCCATCAACAATAAACATTGCAGCATTATTTTCAATACAGTTAGCTAAACAAGAATGTGTCAGACATTATCAATTCCAAACTCAAGATTAACAGGAAAATACAGATCTATGGATAATATTGTATGGATCTATGGATAATCTATCAATGGCAAATTTCCTCAAACTTAATGAAGTACATGCAAAACATTTACTGAGAGGGAAATCAACAGACACCAGAGGAAATTGCACTGATCAATCATTATATTTCTTTTACATTTTTCATGTAGCTGGTACATAACTTTAAAAAGTACAACAAAATGTCATTATGGTGCATGGTGAGGTGGTGATTAAATTGAACTTTTAATGTGGAGAAACACCACAGGGTCAGGTTATTTAAGCAATACGAGAAGGAGTGGTGATTGTCGTGATATATTGCAGTACAACTGCATGAGTTCGACTTTGTTATTACTTTTATACAATAGTTAATTGAGTAGCATTTATAAGGTAAAAGTAATAAGATACAGCATATTTTGTTTGTTTATTTAAACATTTACGGGCCTATGCCAAAAGAAACAGTTCATGTAATGTCAGCGAAATTGGGACGGGCTATGGGTCCGAACCTTCCGCGAGCCCGGAAAGTTCTGTCTCTAACCGATATCGTTTCGTTTAATATCGCCGGTGCCAGCGGTGAAGCGACTAGCCAGCTTATTAGCGGAATAACTTTGCATTGTAAATTTAAGCCATGCCGCAGGTGTAATAAATAAAACATTGTGGCGCTCGAGTGGCAAAGAGATCATAAGGTGGACAGCAAAGTTCAGTTATTAGCAGACTTTTATTGCGCGATCCTTAAAAGGACAGCAGTAAAACAACGAGAGAGAATAAGGAATAAAGTCACTTACACACACACAGCCTTTAAGGAAATAAAAGTGGATACAGGCGGTAGAGACAGAGCTCAAAGAGTCTTACTCTGTAAACATTTTTTCAGTTCGGCATCTTATAAAAACTTAAAATCCAAAACATCAAAATAAATCCAACAGAACGGAATATATATGAACCTTTACTTTAATCTCACTTCCGCCTACGTTCATTTTCGAAACCAGTGGAAACGCAAGCAGGTTCTCAAAAAGCACCAAGCGAGAGTCAGGCCAGTACCGGCTCCATGTTGGTGGAAATGAGGCATTTGTACCAGTTTTTATATACACCTGTAAAGCTGAGTGATACAGCTTATGTGAAATGCCCGAGTGCGGTTATACTATGATACCCGTACTCACAGAATGCCTTCTATCCAATCAGGTTTGTTGGTCGGAAATAACTGTTGTATAGTAAAGTATAATGTAGGATAGTATCAGAATTGGCTGTAATAAGGGGATTGTCACATGTCAGAATGTGGTCACATGTTACAGGGAGGAATTCTTTTACTCTGTGGAGCACCAGTGTCAGGCCTGCACAATCAGTCCTGATAGGATACCCATTGATGTAACCACACAGGCAGCCAAGAAGGCCCTCAAGAGCTGAGAGGAGGCCCTTTCCGAAACACAGAAGCCATTTTTATGAGGGAGGCTGCTTATTAAACTGAAACATGGGGCAGTGCAGGGCTGGAGCAAAGCCTGCATTGCTGTCCATTGTTTTTTACGACTGTCAGTGCGTTTTTCTGGGGTCTGGCTGGTGGCTCCATGCAACAGAGTTATTATTTATAACTGCCGTCCCTTAAACGGCTGGAGGAGTACGCCACCGTTCTGCCGGGAATACATTAACAAATATAAGGAGCGCCTGGGAAGACAGGACATTTCATGGTTCAGCGAGAACCAGATCCACTTAAATGAAACAAGAGGTGCATTCCTGACTCGTCAGCGGCAAGGAGGTGCCGCAAGCCGCTGCCCAGGAGAATTCCATCCCTCCCCCCTTAACCCTCTTTATGCTTTTAGAAGGGCTCTTGCCAGCTCATGCATAAGATTCGCTAAGTGTAAGCTGCATCGATGGAGTTTAGCTAACACTACATAGCCATTTAAACTCCGCTAGCGCAGAGAAGCTTGTCATCTTTATCCTGACGAGGCTTTACAATTAAATTGAAACAAACATGATTAAATAAGCACAATAAACAGACATGCTGTGTTTTTTAAGAGGTGCACGGCTGTTTGTTAGAAAACGCTTTTGTTAAATCCACAAAATTAGAAGCTTGAGCCCTCAGACACATCCTCAAGTGCTGGTTTGTGTCATAAAATCTCTCGTTGATAAACAGCTAACACATGAATAGATTAATTGTATTATAACTAGGGTTTGTTATTAATTAAGTGTGCATATATGAAAAAGATGACAATGTGTGTGTGTGTGTGTGTGTGTTTATATATATATATATATATATATATATATATATATATACACACACAAAAACATACACACACAGTCTGGGTTTTCAGCTGATGGTGACACAATGACATTATCAGTCATTCTGTAGAATATTCCATTTGCATGCTTATATGCAGAGAAGAAGTCTCATTGCAGAAAAACAGGCTTGTTTCAGGCATGGTCTGCATCTGTTACTTGCTGTTTCATTAAGCATCAGAATGAGTAACTTGAACCCACAATAAAAATGATACCTCAGTGCAACAGTTGTGTGCAGAATAGTATTTCTGAACATACAAGCTGTCAATCATTGAAATCACTCCGGAGGTGAAAGTGGGTGCTATTGTACTTCATAAAGTCGGTCCTACTTGGTACTAGCTAACTGTACCTAATAAAGTGGGTCCTACCCAGTACTAGCTAACTGTACCTAATAAAGTCAGTCCTACCCGGTACCATCTAGTTGTACCTAATAAAGGGGTCCCACCTGGTACTAGCTAGCTGTACCTAATAAAATGGCCACTGAAATTTTTTTGTATTATCTAATAAATCTTTAAATATGAATGGATGATCTAAAAATACATGATAGCCTGAACTCATGCCATTTGTCCTGGGGAATAGACTACACTAAAGAGTGTGTTCAGCTAAACAGTTTAATAATTTAACAAAGAAAAAATATTTTAATTACCCACTTTATTTAAGTAATATTTATTTAAGTCCTTGACCAAAAAGAACCCTTTCAGCTTCAAGTTTTATATGCCAGTTCAAACTGATTTAATGAAAATATTAAAAGGACCTGATAGTACTTCAGCACATATACTCAGTTGATCAAGCTTTGTAAAAATCAACAGCTGTGGAATGCTGGGAAATGAGAGTGGAAGACGTCAGTGTATTGTATGGGAAATTAGAAAATAAGAGAAGCAAATAGCAGAAGGCTGATATTAAAGGCTTTAATGTAGCCTGTGTAGTTTGTGTAAGTCTCATAATTACATTGATATTATATAATAGACTGATAGACGGAATTGTTAATGATAGTTATCGTTTACGCATACAGCACTATTTATGCATGCTGTTTTATTTCTCTCTGTTCTGTGAAAGATATGCTCATATAGCATTCATCTTCCAGCTGCTCATCCAAAGCAGGATCACGGGGCCCTGTAGCCGATCCCAGGCAGCCTCCGCCACAAGGCAGCGGAACACTGTGTTTTGGGAAGGCAGGCCATCTCAGTGTGAACACTGTGTTTCGGGAAGGCAAGCCATCTCAGTGTGGACACTGTGTTTCGGGAAGGCAGGCCATCTCAGTGTGAACACTTTGGACAATGTAACGATGCCAATTCACCGAACGGCATGTCTTTGGATGGCAGGAGAAAACCCACATGACCCCCAACTCCGGAGGTGTGAGGCAAAAGTGCTACCCACAATGCCACTCTGCCACTCGGCTCTGAAATCAAATTAACTAGCTAAATAAAATGAAGTACTTAGAAGACGGCATTTGTTATCTATATTAACATTTTAAATGTAAAAAAATTCAAAACTACACATAATTATTTAAATATACATTTAATAAAGTATAAATACTTTACATCTGTATGACTTTCTGTGTATTTATATGTCATTAAATATGTTGCTCAATGAATATATATCTTATTTGAATCTTTATTAAAATATGCCTAATTTCTATATTCTCTCTAATTCTATTTAATTGATGTAAATTTTTAAAATATATTTATATATTTTTAAATATATATTTATATATTTTTATACATCAGAAGGTCAAGGTTTTTTTATTTATACCTATACAGTTTGAATATCTGTATATGTTTATAATGCAAGCAAGAAAAGTGGATGGCTTGTAATGACTCTTCCTTACCTGCAGATGGCAGACTGGCTGTAGGCTGGGCCCTCAGTGGCGCTAAGCGCCTGGCCCACCTGAGTTTGCGTCAGGCCCAGGGACAGCCGGCGGATCTTGAACGCTTTGGCAAATTCACGGATCTCCTCCAGATTGACCCCATCCACCTCGCTGGGGGCTGTCTGTGGGTCTGAGGAAGAACACAGACCATGAAATCAGTGCTGAACCATCCAGCATAAGAACTGTATTATACTGTTAACAGTGACGTTATATACAGTACTATGCATTATATTATATTATGTATCATGTATTAAATATCAACAGTATGTGTCTAAATGATTAAGTTAATTTAACAGTAAGACATTGGTGTCAATATGACTTAAGGCACCAAGATGATGTATATAATCAATTTTAAAGGTTTTTAAAAGTCTATGAACCTCTGTTTTTCCTAAAGAGAGTATGTACGTGCCAATATACATGACGTGGTAATTCTATCGTACGTTACTGTGCAGTTTTGGTAGCTTGATTTTCACCAGATCTGTGATTAAAAGTACATTGCAGTGCTGTTTCGAATTTAAGATGGCCAAGACACACCACATTCAACAAATAACTTCAGTGATATATAGAAAATGTGATTTAGAATTATTTCCATAATTTTCACGCAAAATATATTTATAATGTTCTTCATATACCCGAATAATGGCAATAGATCAGTCTCTGCCATCTCTAAATTCTACATACAGCGATGGACAGAATGAAAAGGGTCTGCAGTCACGTCAAGGAGAGTTCTGTCTGTTCTGGGGAATGCTTACATCTCGCTGATTCTCCTTGACTGAGCCCACAAGAAGCAATTCTGAATTATTTCATATGTCATCTACTGATTTCCGGGCTTCCACATCCAATTCTATTCTCCAGACAGGCTGCAAGAATCTGTCTGTGTCCCCCTCTGTTCTGAGCATAACTATTAATTCTGACGTTAGAGTGGTATCGCAAATTAAAAGCAGTTTCGCATTAGAAATATATCAGTGCTAAGTGTCCAGAGTAACTCACAAGAAAGTTTATTGTTTAAATTATGCATGGGGTTGTATTATTAATGCAGAGATCCCCCATGGGTATGTAAAGTAAAATCAATAGTCAATCGGCGTCAAGCCACCATTCATTACCGGCTTGCATCTCCTGTCTGCAGCGCTGGGAACTGTCTTGTCACGGTATGATATTTTCCTTTTATTCTGTGCCTGAGAGGCTAGCTGAGCATATAAGCTATCGGAATCGTAGCCGGAGAGGCCGGCCTGCACCTCGGAAAACCGGCTAGCGTTTGTAGTAGTGCTTTAACAAAGGCACCAGGCACATGGAAGGAACTGCTGGCTGTAGACATAATGTGTTTGTGAGCCTCGGATTTGCTCTGTCGAGAGGATTGTGGGTATCGGGTGCTCACAAAATGACTGGTGGCCCCTAGCTACCATCACAGGCTTTGCCGATATCTCAGACTATAGATCTTCGTTTTCTCCAAAATTCAAGGAGAGAAACGTATCTATGCACCAGGCAGCAGCACAGTAGGCCTATGAACACCCTGGCAGATTTAGGGGGATCCAGCACTTTACAGGGACCTTAAATATGTGAAATTTTAATACACAAATTCTATTGTGTGGGGGGCCCAAGATGCCATTTTGTCGGGGGGGCACTCTTTCTAGCTACATCCCTGACAGCAGATGGCAGAAAATTATGTTTATAGCTAATTTTTTCTGAGTAAATGTGTAAAAATGCAATTTACATGTAAAATACTAATTTAACATGAATTATTATGGTAACAGCATTACTTGAGGGGGCCAAAATAACATAGTAACTCAGTTACTACTCAAGAATAAATCATGAACTAATGCAGTTACTAGATGAAATACATGTATCATTATGATTGATTAATGATGAATGAACATGGATCAATATGTAACTAACACTTAGTTTCTGATTAATTAATGCATTAAGTAAGAATGTACTACTACATTTGTGTCCCCTCAAGTAGTGTTACTGCTGGAATATATGCAAATGAACAAAATACATATTTCTCTGATCTATAAAGTTTCTGATATCTTGTTCAATGGCTAGATGAACACTTCTGAACAATTCTGAAACATATGCTCAGCGGCACCTCAGCCAGTCCATGTATTTGTTCAATTTTAGCACCAGCTCACTTGATTAATTCATTTCATCAGTTAATAATCTAAATGAGGTACTGATTAGCGAAACAAGGTGTGCTAGTGATAAAATCCAAGAAACATATGAATGTCCTAGATGGTAACTGGAGTTACTGGAGTGGCCTGAGGAGAGCTTTTGAAGTAGTTAACATGCACACACAATATGTTTTATTACATTTTTGTGGTATAATGTATGTGTTTGGAAGAAAATTACCATCTGGAGCCCTCCATATTATGCACTAGATTAAGCGCTAATATCATAGATTTTCAAACCACGTTATCCTGTGTTTTATTCTCTGCATGAGGTCGTTTTCCATTCTAGAGTTTATCTGTAATCTTTAGCATGTAGCATAGCGATTAAGGAAATATATTTGTGAGGGAAATTCTGGTGGTTAGTGTCCCAGGAGAGATGTCCTCTGTGGATGCTTTGTGAAGAGCTTAGCAGAAACCAGGAATTGTTTTAATGTTCTCTGCCCAGATCCACCCGCTGAGTAATCAGCTTGGTAAAATGAGTGAAAAAATATATGATTTATGAGTTATTTGAGGTTGCTGATATTGAGTCTCTGTTCAATTTGTATGAGTTTAGATGGGCAGAACCAGCACCCGGAAGAATTTTCTTTTTTGCAGAGAACAAACATCACAAATATAGCCTACAATCACGCAAGAAAGTTATTTTCTGTATTATTTATTTATTTGTGTTTTATAAAACTGACTATTAGATTATATAAGCTATATAAATCATTCAAGCATTAAAAAATCATGATTAAACATCCATCCTGCCATCTGTGTTCAGTAAACATTTACGCAGTCAGGGTGTCGGTCAACCATAGACTGTTCCGGGAAGCCCAGTGCGTAAGAAGGTGCACTCCCAGTGCGTAAGAAGGTGCACTCCCAGTGCGTAAGAAGGTGCACTCCCAGTGCGTAAGAAGGTGCACTCCCTGGACGGGATGCCACGTGTTCACACATGCGCACACACACAGCAAGTGTAAAAATATCACTGTCACAACAAATAAGCCATGATGAAGCCACTGGGACAGCTGCCACTGTATGGAAGCTGTGGAAGATGGGGGTCCTGTGTGGCTAGTTGGGTTCAGAGGTTGTGCCAGGGACTGGAAGGTTGCTGGTTCAAATCTCAAGGTCCTCAACCAACCCCAACCCCCTCAAAAAACATACATTACTTTTGGTTAAAAGCATCTACTAAATAAATAATCATGTTAAACAGACTCATTCTGACACACAGAGGTGCATTATAAAGATAACCTGAACCATGCAGTTTGCTGACCTAGCAGCTCTATATTGCCTATAGTGGGAAGCTCTGTGATGGACTGGCATCCCATCCAGGGTGTACCCCAGCCCTGTGCCCTGTGATGGACTGGCATCCCATCCAGGGTGTACCCCAGCCCTGTGCCCTGTGATGGACTGGCATCCTATCCAGGGTGTACCCCAGCCCTGTGCCTAGTGATGGACTGGCATCCCATCCAGGGTGTACCCTGTGCCCTGTGCCCTGTGATGGACTGGCATCCCATCCAGAGTGTACCCCAGCCCTGTGCCCTGTGATGGACTGGCATCCCATCCAGGGTGTACCCCAGCCCTGGGCTGCCTGGCATAGACTCCAGGACCCCTCTGATTCTGTTTATGAAGACAGGTGGATGAAATAGTCTATTCAAACAATAGTTATTGAGATAAAATATATAACACGGCAAACCAAATAGTTATTTAGCATATATTTTGAAGGTATCTGATTTAAAGATATCTTGAGCAGTTTCAATTTATCTAGATTTATATAAAATGTAATTACACATGTATCTTTATATCTAAATAAAAATCACAGATCTCTAAACTATATTAATTCCAAATTATTAAATATCTAAAATTTTAAATGAAGAGGAACTGATATACAGAGATCTTTAGATATGAAGCGATTTTGAGTAACTTAGAGATTTTGATCGTTTTTTGTACAAATGAATTAAGCTAAGAAATGTGATGTGCTGGATGCTGCATTTCACCTCTCGGATTCTCTGAAAAGCTCGACTTCTGCAACTTTTTCAGGCCAAATTTCATAAATAGAGTGGAAAAAAAAAAACGAGAAAATGGCACAGGCGGCCATCCCAGCTACTCACTGCTAACCAGCTGACCCACGCTTAGGGCGGAGGATGACGAAGAGCTGGAGGAAGAGGACGACACCTGCCGCAGGGGACTCTGGGACAGAGGGGCCTGGCCGTGTGGCAAATGGAGCAGGCCGCTCTGCGAGGACGTCGGGCCGGGCTGTCCTTGTTGTGCCTGTGGCAACTGTGGATCAGAGGAGAAGGACCCCAAGTGTCACCATTATGAATGAATATAGGCATAATTATTGTGCTAGCCTTACACCTCCAGGGGGCGCTGTGTGGCTCAGTGGGTTAGAACACTGTGCCTATAATCGTAAGGTCACTAATCCAAGGTTGAGAGAGTGATTTCAATGTTAGGTCCTTTGGCCAATTGCTCCAGGGACTGGCTGACTCTGCCTTGTTCTCTATACATCCAGGGATAGGCTCTATCCTCACCACAAACCTGTTCTGGACAGCCAGTTATGAGTGTAACCCCACCGGACAGACCCAAGAGTCATAGATCTAGAGCACTGTGATATGGAAACAGTTCTATCTGTGAGCTGGGCATCATTGTAACAAACAATACGTGAACCACGGTGAGATACTGAGATCACATGGCAGAACAGCTAAAAGAATCAGTAGTGGTGGCTAATTTTTCTGAGTAGGGCTATGGGCAAACTTTGTGGAAGATCCTGTACCTGGGGTGATGTGTAACATGCCCGAGTAGAGAGAGAGGATTGGATGATGTAACAATAATCGAGGAAAGAGTAATGTATACACATTTATTCAATAATAGTAGGAGGCCATATTCAGTTTTTACTTAAAGAAATTCAATTTTTCAGACTCTTTTTAACAGGTTTAGCTGTCAATGCCTGAGCAAACATCTCACGCTACAAACATTGGGAGCCAATAAACGCTTGAAAAGCTGATGTTTCGCTCATTTGAACTGAGTTTGTAAGGCAAGAGCGATGCAAAGGCTCAGTTTTGCCCAACATTCTTATGAATTCACAATTTGGTTTTGTGTCACTTCCTTTTTTCTTACATTATTCAGAAAAGAAAGCGTGACCTCAGGCAGGTTAGATAAGGCTGTCCTTGTGGGTGGCCTCATGTTTTCACAAATTCTTTACAAGCTTTAAGGTCTTACTGTTGATAAGTCCCCTTGCTAAATAACAGAATTCTGAGAAATATTAAGCAAATATGAGTAGCTGTAGAAAAAGAAGTAAAGAAACTCATTATGTACTAGAGTTTGCTAAGTCAGTGCCTATGATCTGAAGATCATTGGTTTGTGCCCTGGCCTTGGCAGAACAGTCACATGTCTGTGGGCTTTTGAACAAGGCCTTTAACCCTCATCTCCAGCGATGCTGCACATCGGTTGATCCTGTGCTGTGACCCGCAAGCTATGGAGAGCAAAATGGGGTAGGCAAAGAGAAGAATTCCAATGCACCTGTACTTGTGCAAATAGTGAATAAAGGATTTGTGATTCACATGAGTTACTTCTTGTTACTCTGGTTTCCTCCTGTAGACCAAAAGCATAATGTGCAATTTGGAACCTGTAGGTTGCCCACAGTGTGTCATCATGTGTATCCAATGCTTAAAGTGGGCTGGTACTCATCAGTACGTAAGACCAGCACCTCATTGCTTTTTTCTTCAGAGTACCTGCACTTCTCATATCTGCTGCCACTGAATAACAAGGGGAGCATTACATAACAAAGGGAGTACCGGTACCTGGTACTGAATAACAAGGGGAGTACTGACACCTGGTACTGAATAACAAGGGGAGTACTGGCACCTCCTACTGAATAACAAGGGGAGTACTGACACCTCCTACTGAATGACAATGGGACATAGTACTGAATAACAAGGGGAGTACCGGCACCTGCTGCTAAATAACAAGGGGAGTACCGGCCCCTTGATACTGAAAAACAAGGGGAATACTGACACCTGGTGCTAAATAAAAAGGGGACTATTGGCACCTGCTACTGAATAACA